AGCTTTTCTGGAGGGAGGCCTTTCTTGGGAAGTTTTCTTGAGCCTTTTTGGGGCCTGCTTAAAGTTTTCTTTACATCGTTGAACAAGTCTCTGTGTTGTCAATCCCCGACACCCTCCGCACGTTCTAGGACACAGGCTGCGCAGCAGACGAGGCAGGGTGGAGTTAGTTTTCACCTGCAGTTGGGAAGCCAGCAGCAGCAAGGCTGGCACTACCCCCTGGGTAGGAGTGAGCTCACAGGAAAAGTTCTTTCTGTGCTCATGGGTAAGCAGACTGCTGACCCTGATAGGAGCTTGTGCAGTTTCTGCAGACACAGCTTCTCCATATGTATTCCCTAAACAAGAGGCGGTAAAATGGATGGCAGCTTCAAGACGGAAGTGATGCGTTCAACCAGTGTAGACACACAGCCTCTGTCTTGCTGACTTCAAGCTCCAACTTTTTGTTTTTTTGAGACAGGGTTTCTCTGTGTAACAGTCCTGGGTCCTGGCTGTCCTGGAACTCCCTCTGTAGACCTGGCTAGCCTCGAACTCACTGAGATCTGCCTGTCTCTGCCTCCCAAGGGCTGGAATTAAAGGCGTGGGCCACCACCACCCAGCTTTTTTTTTTTAACTTAAGTTTTTATTTTTATGTGCATTGCTGTTTTTCTGGAATGTGTGTCTGTGTGTTGAATTCCATGGAACAGCAGTTGTGAGCTGCTGTGGAGGTGCTGGGAATTGAACTCAGGTCCTCTGGAAGAGCAGCCACTGCAACTGCTGAGCCATCTCTCCAGCTCCTCCAAACCCCAACTTTTAATGAGGGATAAGTTACATATAGTAAACACTCATTTTGTTGGGTAGCCACTAAGTTTTGACATAGTGCACTGCCACTGGTTATAAGAATCAGACAACAGTGTTGACACCTAAAATGTTCCCTGGGGATCTTCTGTAGTCATGGTGCCCTGTTTCTGCTTTTGGTTCTGTGCATTCGGGTTTCTTTTTTCCTAGGATTTCCTAATAAGTGGAATGGTACCTGTCCCATGTCTGGGTTGGTTATCTTCACGGTCAGCTTGACTCGATGGAGAGTCACAGGAGACATGCCTTAGTGTGTCTTTGAGAGTATTTCCAGAGGGTTTATCTGAGGCAGGAAGACACCCTGAGTGAGGGTAGCACCGTCCCGTGGACTAGGGTTCCGACTGAACAAAGAGAAAGGATGATGAGTGCAAGTGTTCGTCTCCACCTCCAGACGGACGCATCTCGCTCCCACTGGCAAGCCTTCACCATGGGCTGCGAGGTAAGGCTTTGCCTACGTTGCTTTTGTTTGGTGTTTTACCACAGCAAGGAGAGTGGCCATGTTTAGTGGGCAAGGTTTAAGGCCCATCCGGACAATTTGTGAATCATGGTTTCACACAGGTTCTTTTGTCAAGTGAGGATGACAATTTGGAATTAATTTCCCTCTTTGTTTTCACTGGTCCTGGATTGAGTTTTGGAAACCCTGGTCCTGAGGTGGTTCAGTAGCCAAGCTTCCTGCTCCCTCTGAGTCCAACTATGTCCTCGAAGACTACTGCTGCCCCTTCTCCATCGCTTGACAAGGACTCCCTGGTGCAAGGATCTACAGGTCTCCTCCAAGAAGGACTTCAAATAATGGACATAAGACATCTAGGAAAGGATTAGATGCAATGGTAGGCCGTCTAAATGGGCAGAAACTAGAGCTAGCCAGGGCTGAGTAGAGAGAGGGGATATTTCTGGAGGGAGTCTCAGGGGCCCAGAGTGGGGCCCCCTATTCCTGGTGATTAGGACGCCAGATCGTTTGTGAGGAACACATCCAAGTGGTGCTGATGGCCATCCCAGGCAAATGGTGGCTTCAGGACAGACCCTGTCACAGATGCACAGTACTCTAAGCCCCCAGGAACAAGTCTGGTATATAGATACCCTCAAACCCTATGTGGTCAGATACCAAGTGCCTTGTGTGTGGGATAACTGTACACACACACACACACACTCTTGAGAAATACAACGGTCAACACAATACAGCCAAGCCTCATGTGCTAGATCAGTCTCTATCCTAACCTGAGATGCAGAGGTTCTGGTTCACTCCAACTTTCATCCAGTCCAGTCCACTGGCTCAGCTTCTGAGGCTGCAGAATGGCACTGTGCTGCCCTCTGCTGGCCAATAACAGTCACCCTACCCCTCAGCAGGCAGATGCAGATGCAGAGGCAGAGGCGAAACCGTCCTATGGCCCTCGTCTGATTTCCTGACCATCTGTGACTATGATGAAATGTTTTGTGCCTCCAATTTTTGCAGTGCAGTGTGAGGCAGCAGGCGTAGGAGACTGGACCCGGCTGCAGTGACCAAGGGGCCTTTGCGTCCAGGCCTGGAACCATAGGCTACCTAGAGAACTCTGCTGCTCCGGGAGGTGCAGCCTCTGCTGATTCCTAGGCATGTTCTGAGATGTCGGTCTGCACAAGTCAAGCTCACCCTGATGTGAAAGCATGAGTCTGTGTAACCTCTGAAGTTTCCTCCAGGTCAGAGCGACACACTGGTGTCTAGAGTTGCAGGAAATGTCCACATGTGTAGGGTTTGGGGGATGTTAACGTGTGTGGCATGGTCAAGGACAAGGCTGCAGGTGTACCGAGGATGGTGAGGGAGAGGCCCAATCTGGTTTGGTCCTTATTAGGGCTCAGACAGTTCAACACAGGTGAAGCTCCATTCAAGGATGTCTACATCGATGGGTAAGCCTGCACGACTGCATTCCTTATGTGGGGCAGGGTTAGACCCTTATTAGAGTCCAGCTCTTCTGGAGGTGTGCAACTTCAGAGTCTGGCTGTCTGCAACAGAAGAGTCGGGGATGTTCGGAACACGCGCTTCACCAAGAGGCCAGCAGGGGTCGCTGGCGCTCTGTGTTGTGTCTGTGCATCTGGGACAGCACACTGCCCAAGAGTTAATGCCTGCTCTGGTCTGGACGCCTCCTCTAGTGAGGAATCCTTGCACATCACATTGCCCATGAACTTTGGCCCCTAATCTTCAGCACCTCCAAGAGGAATGCATACATCCCCCATTTTACACCCCGTTTTGTGATAATCACAGCAGGAACCTAAGACTTCCAGCAGGCATTTACAAAGTTACTGGCTGGGCCTGCCACAGTACAAGGTGAGGTGTGGATATCTGTGGGTTAGTGGGATGTTGAGACCATTCCAGGTCTAGCTAGTGTTTCTGTCCACCACAGACATTCCTCCTGTAGCCTTGAGGAGCAGGAGCTTTGGGGGGTGGCCTCAGCAACAGGAGGCAGGGGAACCTGTTTAGAGCTGTGATTGGAGGCTAGAAAGATGGACCAGCCAGCAGTTAAGAGCGTGTATTGCTCTTCTAGAGGACCCTACTTAAATTCCCAGCATCTGCATCAGGTGGTCCCAGCTGTCTGTAATTCTAGCTCTAGGCTGGAGCATCTGTGGATGTCTGCACTCATGTGCACATACTTACACATGATTTTAAAAAGAGCAGAGAAAAAGTTGTGATATTAGGGCTACAGCCTAATCCTAGGCCTCCCGTGTGTGGAGGCCATGAGATCACAGCTGCAGCTTAGGGCACTCTTTTTTTTTTTTTTTTTTTGGCTTCAACTGTCAACATGCCTTGTCTTACTTGTTATAACATCGTAGTGCATTTTTAAAAACTACCCCCCCTTTTTTTCGAGACAGGTTTCTCTGTATAGCTCTGGCTGTCCTGGAACTCATTGATGTCCAGGCTGGTCTCGAACTCACAGAGATCCACCTGCCTCTGCCTCCCAAGTGCTGGGATTTAAGGCGTGCGCCACCACACCTGACTTGGACAGCCTTTTGCATTGGTTTCTGCGATGATATGGTCAAACCCAAGGGCTTTTCATGGTGCCTGATGCTAAACAAGGAGTAGCTGAGATCCCAGCTGCTCCTCCCAGCCCATCTGCAGCAAAGGTGCAGCCATCACCACTGCCTCCTCCCTTGGGAAAAGTCCTCACCTCAAGCTGAGGAGAGCCAGAGGTGGAGGGTAGCCAGGTGTGGCACAGGAATGATGCTCAGAACTAAGAAAGGGGATCCTGCCTCTCTGCCCTTAGGTTGCAGGAATAGTTTTTGATCAGGGACTTCTTCCAAGCCTCTGACAGTCCCCCAGTTCGAGTGAGACAGTGGTGGCAATGCCCACTAGCGGTTACAACTAGGGCTACCGCTATACTATGGTGAGTTGGGCCTTGTGCAGGCATCTTGCAAAGCAATTCTCCACTTCTTTTATGCTCTTAAAATTATCACGAGAGTGTATTAGTTAGGCTTCTCTAGAGGAACACAACTGATAGGATATATATCCTGTATTCTAACACACACACACACACACACACACACACACACACACACACACACACACACACGGAATTTATTAGAATGGCTTATGGGCTGTGGCCCAGCTAGTCTAACAATGGCTGTCGACCAACAGAAGGTCCAGGAATCCATTAACTCTTCAGTCCACGAGGCTGGATGTCTCAGCTGGTCTTCACTATACACCAGAGCCACGGAGGAGTAGACTCTAATGCTAGTGAAGGAATAGACTTGCCATGGAGAGCAAGAACAAACAGGCAAAGAGAGCAAGTTTCCTTCTTCCTTGTTCTTTCTAGAAGCTGCCAGCAGAAAGTGTGGCCCAGATTGAAGGTGGATCTCCTTTTAATTGACTAAGAGTCCCTCACAGGTGTACCCAGCTGCCTGGATTAAGTTAATCCCAGATATAGTCAAGTTGGTGACCGAGAGTAGACATCACAGGGTGCCAAGGAAATAGCTGAGTTGGTGTGCTGACTCGTTTTACGTCAACTTGACATACGCTAGAGTCATTTGGGAAGAGGGAACTTTGATTGAGAAAATGCTCCCATCACATTGGCCTGTGGGCAAGCCTGTGCTACATTTTCCTGATTGAGGACTGAAGTGGGAGGGCCCAGCTCACTGTGGGAGGGACTACCCTGGGCTGGTGGTCCTGGGTGCTGTATGAAAGCAGGCTGAGTAAACCATGGGGAGTAATACAGCAAGTACTACTCCTCCAAGGCCTCTGCATCAGTTCTTCCCTCCGAGTTCCTGCCCAGACTTCCTTCAGTGATAGACTGAGATGTGGAACTGTAAGCTAAAATGAGCCCTTTCCTTTCTGAGTTGCTTTTGGTCATGATATGTTTCACAGAAATAGAAATCCTGCCTGAAATCAGAGCATGACCTGCGTTTGGGTTCCGCCACCTATACAAAAAGTGGTGAGGCACACTCATAATCCCAGCCCTTCTGGGACAAACAAATCCCTAGAACTCCATGACCAGACAGCCTAACTCAGTTGCTAAGTTCCAGGTCCCAAGAGGAGAGTCAGTCTAAAAAAGTATGGTGGATGGCTGGCTCCTGTGGAATGACAGCCCAGTTTGTCCCTGGCGTCCACACTGGAGTGCATCCGTCACACGTGTATCTGCATGTGTGCCCTCATCCTCTGCAATGCATACGTGAACTCAGGTGTCTGCACACACGTGTGTCTGAAAGTGCCCCCACCCCAGCCCCTGAGGTTATTCGGGACCTCAAATGGCTTCTGTTGAGTGCAGGCTCTATCTCTCACTATTTACTGTTTTAGGAATTAAGACAGAAAGTTTAATGCTCCTCATTTATAATTTATTTAAAAGAGCAATAATAAATGCATATGAGTGCAAATAACATTTTTACGATGCACTTATATTTTCTGACACACAAAATGCAGGGGGAAGTGTGTCTGCATCACACAGCTGGGCTTTCATGTCTGCTTCTGCAAACGAAGTTAGGTGCTTTCACACGCTCCTGAGACAGCCCACAGAGACTTCAACACTTGGTTTTCAGAGACAGAGGAGAGAGGGAGGAGAGAGGGGGAGGAGAGGGAGGGAGGGAGGGAAGGAGGGAGGATGGAGTCTGGAAAGGTTTCTGGGCCTCCAGAATCACTCAGAGCAGCTTTTGGGAGCTTCTGCCTTGTGTACAAGCAGAGTAGATTCTTTTATTTAATATATTTTCAGTACCTTTTGTTTTGTTTTCCTTTCTCACCATGTAGCCCCAGCTGGCCTGGAACTCACAGAGATCCCCTTGCCTCTGCCTTCTGAGTGCTTGAATTAAAGGTGTGTGCTACCATGCCTGGCTTTTACTGTAGCGACATATTATTTATGATTTATTAAAGCTTGACTGAGGATTCAGAAAAGCAAAGTCAGTCTCAAGCCATAGATTCAGGCAGTGGTGATACACACCTTTAATCCCAGCAGCCAGAAGCTAGGAGGTGATGGTACACACCTTTAATCCTAGGACTCGGGATAAGAGGTAGATGGGTCTCTCTGAATTCAAGACCACCCAGGGATACATGAGATTGAATCATTAACAGATCACATGCCTTTAATCCTAGAGGGGTATAAAAGATAGAAGCGGGGTCTTCAGTAGTCAGTATGAGGCATTCGTTCTCCAGCCACACTGAGGAGAGGCAGCAGTTTGAGTCTTGGTGAAGGGCTGGTGCATGGATCAGCCCTTTCAGCCTGTGCTAGAGGTGAAAGCTAGTGGCCGGCTGTTTTGCTTCCCTGAGCTTCAGCTTGAACCCCAATATCTGTCTCTGGGTCATTTATTTATTTGTGTACATTTTACAATGTTTTTATTTATTTTGGGGGTGGGGTGATATGTGCAATGTTGTGCATTTGGAGGTCTAAGGATAACTAGTGGGAATCGCTTCTCAATTTCCACTGTGGGGGTCCTGGGGATTGAACTCAGACCATTAGGCTTGGAAGAGGGTGCCTTACCCTATGAGTCATTTTACTGGCCCAAGATGGGTGGATTCTTACATTGCCCCAGGTATGCATGTGAGGAACTACAGTAGTAGTTAAGGTAACTTGTCCAAGGTCAAGAAGCAGGGCATCCAAGGCAGAATGGGAACAGCCACGGGAAAGAGCCTTGTTTGGTACCCACAGCCCAATCCAGAGCCCTGGAGAGGGCAGAATTGTACTCAGCCAGAAGCCTAAGCCTGGGCAGTGCTGTGGAGTCTGGGCCTGCAATGAGGGGTGGGGGACTTAGGAGGGACCCAGGGATCAGTTAGTCACCAAGTGGTCCCTGTGACAGGGCTGGAGATGGCAGCTGGCGGCGGAGGCAGCCTCGGGTTGGAAAATCAATAGGTGATCAGCGGTCCAGGGGCACGCTGTTCATCAGGTGCGGAGGGGAGGCAGGGCAGGGCAGGGAGGGGGCTGGGAGGAAATATCACTGACCCCCAGCAGGATTGATCAAACAGCCAGACACCCAAGGCCAAACTCACTAATAAAGTGAGACATTCAGTTCAGCCCGGCGGCTGCTGGCTGAAGGTCTTTAAAAAAACCGCTTAGCTGGGGAGTTCCTTGCTAAACTGTCTTTGTTTCTAGAGGCAACTGGGAGGGAGGGTTGATGGGGGGAGAGGGGGAGGCTGGACCACTGCTTGCCTTCTCTCTCTCAGTGTAACACAGACTTGGAAAGCGAGGAATGGAGCACAAATGGCATAGGAATAAAGCATGTGAACTTATACATGGCATGTGTGCTTTCATGTATAAATGCATGATACTGTGTGTGTGCACGCGCGTGCGCACACACATGTGCGTGCATGCGTGTGTGTGCATGTGTGTGCAAAGATGGCATTTGTACTTGGCACAAGTGCACCGTCATACCTGTGCTGCAGCACACTCATGTATCTGTGCGTTTGGTCACGTGCCACCACACGTTTGCATTTGAGGAAGGAGTATTGGTTTCGGGGGCAGGGCAGTTCTTCATGATTTCAAGCTGAGATACTTCTCCTCATGGTCCCAGGGATGCAACATGTATTTGAGAGTCTAGATGATTATACCTTGGGAGGGCAGATGGAGAAGTGGGGACCTGGAAGCTGTATCTGGAAGGCCAATCTGTTCCAGAGAGAGAAATGATGTGAACTTGGGAAGGAGGGAGGAGAGGAAGTGAAGGGCTGGTGTGGTGGGTGAAAGAATACCTGTGTGCGCATGTGCAAACCACACTCACATGTGCACACCACACTCATGTGCACACATGCTACACTCACATGTGCACACATGCCACACTCACATGTGCACACACGCCACACTCACATGTGCACACCACACTCATGTGCACACCACACTCACATGTGCACACATGCCACACTCACATGTGCACACCACACTCACATGTGCACACATGCCACACTCACATGTGCACACCACACTCACATGTGCACACATGCCACACTCACATGTGCACACCACACTCACATGTGCACACATGCCACACTCACATGTGCACACATACCACACTCACATGTGCACACATACCACACTCACATGTGCACACCACACTCACATGTGCACACACATACACACACAGAAGGAGGGAGAAAAGAGTGTACTTTGGACAAGGAGCAAAGAGAGGAAACAGAGAAGGAGGGGGAACGGCATGGGTAGTTGTACGTACTGAGATATTAAGAGGTGTGATGGGTAATGAACTTGACATCTTTGGAAGGATCCAGTAAAGGATAGAATTGCTTCTGGGAATTCCCTGCTTGTTGGGCTGGGTTTTTCCCAATGTGCCATTGTACTTTGGTGCTGGGCTGCAGGCACATTGAATTTGTTTAGATTGAATAATAGTTATTTATACCAAGAGCTCAATTTGTTATAAAATGGCATGTTGGCAGCTACCGGTGATCCCAGCATTTGGGACATAGAAATGAGAGGATCAGAAGTTCAAAGTCATCCTTGGCTACATAGTGAATTTGAGGTTAGCTTGGGCTACATGAGACCTTATCTCATTTTTTTGAGAGAGGTTTTCTCTGTGTAACCCCAGTTGTCCTGGAACTAATTCTATAGACCAGGCTGGTCTTGAACTCAGACATCCACCTGCCTTGCCTACTGAATGCTGGGATCAAGGGCGTGCATCACCACCTCCAAACACTTTTTTTTCTGATGGAATGCATTTGTGGATGAAAGATTTTACAAAGCGTTTTCCATGTGTCATCGCCTCTAACCATAAATATTGCTACCATTTATATCCATTTTTGATAATTTTATTGGAACTCAGAGCTTTAATCATTTGCAAAGTCAGGTGACCAGTGGGAAACAGGGGCAGGACTTGAGCCAGCCTTCTAACTGTCATGTGGGTGTGCAGGACAGTAGGTAGACCATGGCTGCATCTGGGGAGGCCTCTGTCATCACTGTACCTCTCCTGAGGTAGGAGAGCAGAGCCCTGGTGTCAGCGGCAGAGTGTTTTGCTTATCCCCACTGACCCTTCAGTCACCAGCAGTTCCAGACTGGCTTGTCACCCCCTTAGCTCAGGGACTTGACCGAGCTCCATCTGTTTTACTGATTGCTGAGGACACGTGGATACATGGGAAAGAGCTGGGAGAACCTGCCACGCTCTAGTAGCTGGCTTTAGGATGCGTAGATCTTAAATCCCTGGGCTTTTATAAAAGCATGGGGCAGGCTATGGAGAACACTGGAGGATCTGACCCATACAAGAAATGTAAAACTATTTTCTTCACATATGGTCCTTGGACCACCTGAGGCCCACGGGCATGCAGAACTCTGATCTGGTCCCATGTCTACTGAAGCAGACTCTTTGAGGCTGGGTCCAAGGACTCTGCATCTGATAGGCCTTGAGGGATGCTTCCCCACTTGATGCCTTTGCATCTGCTGTTTCACAGGCCTGGCGTGCCCTCCCTGGAGAGCTTAATATAGTTCACATTTCCTTTCCTTTGGGTCCATGTTCTGATGTCACTTCCTGTTACCTCGCCTAAAACTGTACCCCTTGTACTTCCAACCCCCTTGCTCTGTGCTATGTCTTACTTTTACTGTGTGGATACTAACTAGAGGCATGCAAATTAGGATAGATAATATTGGATTATATATTATATTTGATAAATGAATTATGATATAACCCATGCCACAGACCACACCATCCATACATATCAGTGTGTTTTTGTTGGCTCCTTTTGGCCCCTAGCAGAGCATATCTATGGGTGCAGGGTTTCCTGTTTTGTTCACTGCTATACCAGTGTCCAGAACCTGGCCTGGAAGGCTGATGAGGGGAGGGGATAGTGCTTATGAAATGTCCATTGTATTCTATGTGTGTGCTGAGGGTT